CCAAGTGTATTGCACAGGAGCTCCCAGAAAGTGTAAGTTTGTGAGCATAGAAGATGCTTCCAGACTAGCGCCTCGAGCATCACGGACTGCACCGAGACCCCAGGTAGGGGAGTGGGCGTTGGCGTCCATGCCTAAAACACTTGGTATGGCACATGTGGTAATGATGGATTCGAGGGTCGGAAGAAAGTCATATTCTGTTGTATCATGGTGCCAGTAGGCTGAACAAACTGAGAGGGCTTGTTTGCCTAGCCAGATCATCGCAGCAGTGATGTTTGGGTCGGAGGAATATCAATATTAGGAATATCAATTTTTTTGGAAGGTACGAAGTTCAAGCCTTTTGATAGAAGTGTCGTAATTTCGGGTGTAATTGATTGATTAGAAAGATTAATAACAGTATTTTGGTGAGATTGGGGTTGTGTTTTTTGTTGCCAAGTGTTTAATTTTTTAAGTGTAATTTCCAACTGTTGATAGAAAGTCTAGCCTTTCCATTGATCTTGCTAGGCGAAGCGCGTCGGTACCAAAACTGGTTAAAATCGTTTTGAAAATAGAGCAATCCATATTTAATTCATTTGATCATAAAAAGGCATATATTGGATTTAATAAAATATTTATTTTGCCAATATTTCGGCTGGCTGAACGCCAATGGTACTCGATAGGTATCTAAAGACAGTTTTGTCATTTCCCAAAACTTCTTTCCTGGCTTTGCACAAAATTAGGAAAGTTTCGAAGAAGCAAAATATATATCTGGTCCAGTAAAATTGGACAAAAAAAAAACAATACATCAATATGCTCTTTTTATGGTATGTTAGACAATTGGTCTTTTTCTGCTTGTGTATTAGGACAATCTATTTTAGATATTATGGTAGCTGCGTCTAAAGGTGTACATAATTTTCGGACACCGGAAATATTTTATCTATCAAGTCTTTAATGCCTTTGGTTAAGAGATAAACTATTTTTTTTCCGTAATTTATATCCACACTTAGAAATAATGTAATGGGCCCCAGACTTTTAATTTGAAACTTTTGTCTAATCTTATCCTCGATTTCGTCAAGTGTATTCTGGTCAACAGCAAAGATCGCTAAGTCGTCCACAAAAATTGCAATGATTGGCCTGTCGTCAAGCACGAACAGGAAATTGCAAGCTGATATTTTAGAAGAACTCACTTTAAAAGAAATTGACTTAGCGTAGAATTCCTAAATATCTGCTTGTTTGAGCCCATAAATAGGTTTTAAATCTAAGAACTTTATTTTCCTAATTCTGAAATTTTACTCCTGGTGGCAAAGCCATGTAGTTCCTTATGGTGTGCCTCATATGCATTATTTATGTTTAAATGCCTACCTAGCCAACCAATATTTTGGGTCAAAATTAAAAGCATTCTTATTATACCAATATTGACCACAGGAGCATATGTTTGATTAAAGTCAATATCAGGTGTCTTGCTGTAACCTTTGGCTGCGAGGCTAGCTTTAAATTTATTAACCTTTCCTTTAGAATATCATTTCATTTTGGAAACCTAATGTGATTACCGAATATTTTTATTTTTTAATAAATTAATTATAACCCATGTGCATGTCTTTCTTCTAAACAATTTAAATCTTCTTGCAGTGCATTTTACGAAGATCTGATTCGGAGAATAAATGGCTTCTTCAAATATTTTGGTTCAAAAACCTCGCAAAAATTTAGGCTGACTTTTGCAAGATTCAGTGTTTTCGTTCAATTTCTCGACTACGGAGGCTTATAGTTTTATCAGAACTACCCCCTACTATATCTCTAATTTTTGATGTGGAAGGAACTTCTAGTTGGCTGTCATAACTTGGTTGAAGGCCAGGATCTCGTGATCGCAGTGTGTCTGGCGACTACGGTTGGGTTTCGCCCTGTTCCGGCAACCAAACGAAACTATTTCTAGCCTCGTTCCCGACAATTACGTCATTCTTAAAGCTTGTTCAATACTACTTTAGTTTAATCAAATCTAGGGTGTTCAGTTATTAATACTTGTTTAATAACCTTTGGAATGTGTTGGATATCCGACTAAAATACATCTTTTAGCTCGATGGTAGAATAGATCCAAAATTTTTTAAATAACGTGACCTCACTTTTCTTGAAAGTCAAATTTTCTCTGGAACTTTGTTATAAAACGCGCTACAAAGGCTTTTAATTTAATGTATGCGGTACAATTAACGTTTTCAGCCTATACTTTTTGTGGCAAATCAGCATTGTGCAACGACGCTCTAGCCATGTCGAACAACTAACAATTTAAACTTTCAGAGACACTATTTTGTTTAAGGCTGTATTTGTTAATTCGTGTTTTATTCCAAGTTTTAGTTACAATATTATAACAAATATCTGTCCGTAAACGTTTACTCTTATGAACTGTCTCTCTTTCAGACCTAGCTCTAAAGATGTTAGATTATTCAATAACTTGATCCTTATGCTTTAAGAAATAAACACTAACTGCGGGTGGAATCATCTGTAAATATAAGAAAATAGTGTGATCCAGCAAAAGAATCAACAGGAAATGGTCCACATAAATCGCTATGCACTAACTCTAACAAAACTTTCTATATTTTATTTTATATGGAGACAATTTATGTGACGACATTGTTGACTTTGTCATACAACAAACATCGTAAATTGGCATTTCCCCTTTGGAAATTTCAAGGCCGTTAACAACGCTATTTTTAGTTAACTTATTCAAATTGTTTGATATGCTTAAAGCGTTTATATCAAAGTTCTAGTGTAGGCGACTAGAACTAGCTAAGTACGCATCTTGTGAGATAGGCTTACCTCTAACGATGTATAACCCGAGAAAAGGGGCATTTCCTGATCGTGCAACTCAAAGTTGTTGATGGCTTGCACCATACAACTACAACTGTTAGTTGCAGATCAGGAAATGCCCCTTTTCTTAATTTATCCACCAGTTCGAAGTACAAATTCACTTTTGTACTATTTTTCACAATGAATAATCCGTTTAGGTATCTTGTTGCACATATCACTCTGGAGTTGCTGAACACTCTTGCCTTGTGGTTTAAAATCTTGATGTGCTTGACTTTATCTTTTGTTTGTGATACAGAAGGAAAATTTATTCTTGCTTGGGGCAAAAAAAAAAAAGCCCATCGTTCAAGGTGACATCCTGCGTTCCAGTAACCAAGTACATCTTAATGTGAACATTTCCAACTCCCTCGACTTGTAGATCGCCGCTTGCAGTCTGGATGGGCTCACGCGCAGTAGGCTGAAAATTTAAAAACATTGTCGGTTCTTACTAACGTAACATTTCGAGCCTTCGAGCAACATTTTCTGTATGTCATCAAAATCTATAGATAATGACCATAAAGTGTATTTCACCGAAATAATATAAATATGTCCATAAAGAAAACTGCCAAGTCATCATGATTGCTTCATAATTTTTACAATAATCACATCTCAAAGTTATTCTAAAACATACGACATTAACTTCATATAAAAATAAATTTTAGATATTAAAATAAATAAATCAATTCCAAACATTATACCATCACTTCTAATTTGAAATTGTCAAAAATTAAATAAGTATTTAAATTTTTTGTGTAAATATAAAAATTATTATTTCATGCATCATTCATTTAAAAGCTATGCCATCAACTTTATAAAAATCAACAGCTGCCCTCCTGCAAGGTCCGGGGGGACCACCTCTACTCTTATAATACAATACACTGCGCCCTGTGATTGTAAAACGACACTTGAAGTTACACCGCACGAGTTTCTTTTCAACGTAAAATCAAATTTTTATTTCAAGGTGAAATATCGACTATTTCTAACCTTTTTGGATGAGGTATGAAAGGAAGAATTATGAAAAGTAATGATGAACGGAAAAATAAAAGTGTCCAGGGATGGTAATCGAACCCACAATTTTCCGCTTACCGGGCAGATGTCATGTCCACTAGGCTACCCTGGACGTATTTTTCCGTTCGAAAATGATACATAAAGTAACTTATAATTCTATATACAGTTACGAGCGTCATTCTTCATCTCCTAATCAACTCTGTCACCGTTTGCTTTTTTTTTGGAATGGCGCCCTCCTATTGGTTGGCTACGATCACGCCACCTTTGCCCCCCCATCATGCCTCCCCCACTCGCTTTTTCGTTTTTGTAACTATTGTGTTGGAGCGGGTCGCTCCTTAAATAAATGCATATATTAGTTAATAACTAAATGGAATCCTCTCTTTCTTTTTCCCAGTATGAGACGCCTACGGAAGCCAACAGTACATAGACAGATAAAGCACATAGGCTATAGTTATTAACTAATATATGCATTTATTTAAGGCGCCAATTTATAATTGTAACAAATAGTATTTGAATAAAAACATTCAATCGGGTAAAACACGGGCGTTGCCCGGGTCATTCGGCTAGTACAATATAATACACTGCGGCCTGTGATTGTAAAACGACACTTGAAGTTACACCACATGAGTTTCTTTTCAACGTAAAATCAAATTTTTATTTCAAGGTGAAATATAGACTATTTCTAACCTTTTTGGATGAGGTATGAAAGGAAGAATTATGAAAAGTAATGATGAACGGAAAAATAAAAGTGTCCAGGGATGGTAATCGAACCCACAATTTTCCGCTTACCGGGCAGATGCCATGTCCACTAGGCTACCCTGGACGTATTTTTCCGTTCGTAAATGATACATAGAGTAACTTATAATAAAATATAATACACTGTGGCCTGTGATTGTAAAACGACACTTGAAGTTACACCGCATGAGTTTCTTTTAAACGTAAATCAAATTTTTATTTCAAGGTGAAATATCAACTATTTCTAACCTTTTTGGATGAGGTATGAAAGGAAGAATTATGAAAAGTAATGATGAACGGAAAAATAAAAGTGTCCAGGGATGGGAATCGAACCCAACAATGTTCCGCTTACCGGGCAGATGCCATGTCCACTAGGCTACCCTGGACGTATTTTTCCTTTCGTAAATGATACATAAAGTAACTTAAAATACAATATAATACACTGCGTCCTGTGATTGTAGCCTAGTGGACATGGCATCTGCCCGGTAAGTGTTCTACCGCGTTAGGGTAAAGGTTCGAGCTGCAGTGAGAACTATAAATTAATAATTTATATTTTAATAAGTCCAAAAATTACATACAATTATAAGAGGCAGATGGAGTACAGTTTTTACTCCACCAGCGCCTAGAGTATTATATAATGGAAGGAAACGCCGCAGGTTGTAGCGACGCGCGGTAAACAGCCGGCTGACATCAGGCGGTGTTCGAAAAGTGCGCGCGCAGCCCCCGGTGCGCGCGCAGGCCGGCTGGCCAGCTCGCAGAATTCCCGGCGTCCCGTGCCAGCGTCGCCCGCTGGCATCCTCTTATCTCAGTAAGCGGAACATTGTGGGTTCGATTCCCATCCCTGGACACTTTTAGTTTTCCGTTCATCATTACTTTTCATAATTCTTCCTTTCATACCTCATCCAAAAAGGTTAGAAATAGTCGATATTTCACCTTGAAATAAAAATTTGATTTTACCTTGAAAAGAAACTCATGCGGTGTAACTTCAAGTGTCGTTTTACAATCACAGACCGCAGTGTATTATAAGTTACTTTATGTATCATTTACGAACGGAAAAATACGTCCAGGGTAGCCTAGTGGACATGGCATCTGCCCGGTAAGCGGAACATTGTGTGTTCGATTCCCATCCCTGGACAATTTTATTTTTCCGTTCATCATTACTTTTCATAATTCTTCCTTTCATACCTCATCCAAAAAAGTTAGAAATAATCGATATTTCACCTTTAAATAAAAATTTGATTTTACGTTTGAAAAGAAACTCATGCGGTGTAACTTCAAGTGTCGTTTTACAATCACAGGCCGCAGTGTATTATATTGTATTTTAGGTTACTTTATGTATCATTTACGAACGGAAAAATACGTCCAGGGTAGCCTAGTGGACATGGCATCTGCCCGGTAAGCGGAACATTGTGTGTTCGATTCCCATCCCTGGACACTTTTATTTTTCCGTTCATCATTACTTTTCATAATTCTTCCTTTCATACCTCATCCAAAAAGGTTAGAAATAGTCGATATTTCACCTTGAAATAAAAATTTGATTTTACCTTTAAAAGAAACTCATGCGGTGTAACTTCAAGTGTCGTTTTAACACCTCTACTCTACCAACTCGCCATGTGTAAATAGCCAGGACAAGGTGACTCGCGAGCTCTGCTCGAATGTAACACCTGTAAATTGAGACGAAATAAATAAAAATTATGAAAATAAAATTCAACACATTAATAAATTCACTTCCAGGCATGGTTTCCAAAGAAGTTCTTGCAAAAACGACCCAAATATTTTCTATTATATATGTGGCGAATATACTGTAAAAGCGCAAAGAAATGCAATAACAGACTTTGTAAAGCGGGCGTATTTCGCATATTTTGGTATAAAATTAGGAGACCAGGACAAGACATGGACTACACATAAGGTATGCAAAACGTGTGTCGAAACACTGCGCCTGTGAACAAAGGGTGAAAGGCAACTGACATTTGGAATCCCTATGGTTTGGCGAGAGCCAAAAAATCATGACAATGATTGTTACTTTTGCATACAAGACTTAAAACACTTTAACAGGAATGGTAAGAAAAAGCTTATATACGAAGTCCTATATTCAAGTTGACTTCCAATACCACACAGCCTAAATAGTCCCCTCCCAGTTTTTTCATCCAGTGCTAATAATCCTCTTTATGATGATTCAGAAGACACCACACAAAAAGATATCAAACTGGATGATTCTGATAGTGAGAACTATGGAGAACAAGAATGTCCAAAATGTTTTTCACGACCAAAACTGAATGATCTGACATGTGACCTGAGACTTTCAAAGCAAGATGCCTAACTGCTTGCATCAAGATTAAAAGAAATAAGCCATTGTTGAAAATATAAAAACCATCTTGAATAAAGTCAAATACAATGAGCATAATTGGTTAATTTGCGCCGATTTAAAAATGGTTAACTTTTTACTGGGATTTCAAAGCGGATACACCAAGTATCCTTGTTTTTTATGCATGTGGAATAGCAGGGCACGGCAAATACATTGGAAAACAAACAAATGGCCTCTTCGATATGAACTTACAGTAGTAAAAGCTAATGTAATTAGCAACCCTTTGGTGTCTCTGGAAAAAATTATTCTATCACCATTACATTTAAAGCTAGGTTTATGTAAGCAGTTTGTAAAGGCTCTAGATAAAGATGGAGAATGCTTCAAATATATATGTCATTTTTTTCCAGATATTAACCTAGAAAAAATAAAAGCAGGAGTTTTTGACGGACCTCAAATCAAGAGGCTCCTGAATGACAAAAATATTCTAATAACCATGAATGGAATTGAAGAAGCAGCATGGATTTTTAGGTAATAGAAGAGACGATAATTACGAAGAGCTTGTCCAAAATATGCTTAAAAGCTATGAAGCTTTGAGTGTAAATGTGAGTATTAAGGTTCACTACTTGCATAGTCACCTGGACAAATTCCCTGATAATCTCGGTGCATATAGTGATGAACAAGGCGAGAGATTCCATCAAGACATGAAAGTGATGGAAGAGAGATATCAAGGTGTCTGGGACTGCCACATGATGGCGGATTACTGCTGGAATCTGTCCCGAGACCTGCCGGAATACACCTATAGGAGAAAATCAAAAAGGTTGAAATTCATGAAGGATTGACTGTAGCATTTTATTTTTTTTTTTATAGATTCGGTTTTCTTATACTACAGTAAATAAATTACCTTTTTGTATGGCGTTCTCAGTTTTTATTTACGTTCAATGTATTTTTCGTACCGCTTATATGGACTGATGTACCACATTGTGGCATAAATATGTATTATATTATATAATATAATCTAAAAACTCAAATATTTCTATATTTTAAAAAATATATTTTTTATTTTTATTCATTGATATTTCTACTTTTGGTTATCATTGTTTTTCGAATGACTTTCAGTTTTGTTGTAAATATGCTAGTTAACATATCTATCTTTTTGAATCACTAATATATAGGATTAATCTTATAAATTCTATATAATGTGAAAATAACTAATGTGTGATTTTTCCTCAAGTAATTGAAAATAAAAGCTACTTGATGGTAAATAATTATCTTTTTTAATCACGACTGCACCTTCAACCCTTTATCTTATCAATCCTTTGTCTTATCAACCTTTTCTCTAACAACAAACAAATTATTCATAAATGTATATCTCTAAAAATTGATGAGATACATAAAAACTAACATTATATTCGTGATCAGCACCTCAAATTAAGTCAGAAACTGATGCATTAACAAAAACATCTTTTTCAGTGTAGACCAGTGTAATCATTCAGCTTGATACCAGAATGTTATGATAAAATAGCTTTAGCTTATGGTTATTAAACTTATTTTTGTTATTCAATCTTGGATAAAATACTTTTTTTTTTTATATTAAAAGAAGTTTAAGAGAGAAAATAACAAAAACATTATTACTAACTTTTAAATTTAAAAAAAAATGGTTAAAATAGTGTACTTTATAGATGATTAGACTTTCAAATTGGATAAAATATTGTTTTAATTACTTCTTTGGGAGTCTTTTCTTGTGAACAACTAATTTTTCTGGATCACCATCTACATATATGCACCACCGGTTTCAGGCAGTGGCTTCTTTGGGCCAGATTGGCTCGATCAGGTTAATCCAACTTTTCTACCATTGGTCAGCTTGAATAAAGACCACTTTCCAGTGGAACTTTCAATAAATAGTTTATCTTAAAACTGTCATCCCAGAGGCCCAAGAGAGCTCAAAGCTGAGTAACTGTTATCTCCTTATGATGCTAAGCAGTCAGTTAGCAGTGTAGATAGTCTGTGGTGTTCAGCTCTGCCCTATTCTTTTGGCGATGGTTTCACTGAATTGTTTCAGAGGTCTGTCATTTAGCCACATTGCTGTTGAATTTAGCCATTTGGCAAATTCAGTCTCGGATTTGCCTGCTTCCATCCTCCCAAAAGCACTTTCCCACACCACATACACAATAATTGGATAGATGATCAAGTTTAATCATTATGTATGATTTCTTTCAGAACATGCAAGATTAACATGATGATGTGCTAACAGAGCGAACAATTAACAAAGCATGATGTAAAAAAAAATTTGCAATTTTTTTTCCAAAGTTCAATAAATCAAATTATTGTAAAAAAAAAGGTGAATATATAAGATAATTTTACATGGTTTTGTCAATTTTGGTGCTTTTAGCTTCACCAAATTTTATAATACTACTATTCAAAAAGTGAAAAATAGAACAAATGTGATATTGTACTATTTTTTCACATTGATTCATGTTCTCATGCAATTCTGGCCTTGGCTACACGTTTCATGATTTTTCAGGATGCCTGAATGACCAGTTTTTTTGGTCGTTGAGGTACAGCTTGCACCACGCTGACGAGGGCCAACAGCTCGAAACGTGTACGTGGTTAGCTTTTTTTGATTAATCAAGAATGGGTGTTTGGCCAATTATGGAATAAATAAAAATCAACGAATAGTTTATATTTATTCCGATAAATGATGCAAGCCATCAGCAACTTTCAGTTGCCTGATAAGGGGATGCCTTTTATCTTTTTTAACTCAAAAATTGTTCCCAGTTGTTGGATGTAAGCAATATTCCCACCCACACAGTGAAGACATCAAAGTAGGCAAGGCAGCTCAAATTTATCCATAGCACTCCATCATGACTCCACATGTGGGAGTCCCTGGAAATGAGGAGGCCGACAGATTGGCTAAGGAAGGAGCAGCTGGACATCCTGATGCGGTGAACTCCGAGACCTATCTTTCAGCAAGGGACCATATCAATAAACTGAAACTACAACTAATAAGGAACCATAGAGATAGTTTCCATCATTCTTGGTACCAGGCAGAAAACCCCAAAAAACAGACCCTCCAACTAAACAGAAGGGAATCGACACAGTTGGCCAGATGGAAATCTGGTCACCTGCGCCCTCTAGTCTATAAAGAGGGAGCCAAAAGCTTCCCCATGTGCACTAGGTGCAAAACCGAAGAGGCCACTCCCCAACATTTACTAAATTGCATTGGAAAGGACAAAAGATCCCTGTACAGAGAACCAAGAAGAGTTCTTGAGCTTCTTTACGAGCACGACCTCCAAGATCTTGTCTAATTTAGACTAAAAGGATAAGTAAAAAAAAAAAAAATTGTAAGGCTGATGGTAAAGTGTCCAACTCTGGTTTACTGTGGTGTGAATTATATATTTAACATAATGTCATTATAGTGTCCAAACTCGTTAACTTGCTGAGAAAGTCTAAATCCCCCTGGTTATAATTGTGAGGGTAACTGAGTAGTTGAAGAACTCATTAAACTGGTATGGTGATTTAAGTTTAATCTCACTGTAACACCTT